GTGAAATACTCTTTATTTATAAAAAAATTATTTTAATTCATCTTTTGTTAGCCTCAAGGTTATAATATAATCATTTTAAACATTACTTTCTCCATATCATAAATTTTGTCCTATTTTTCTTTTTCACTCGTCCAAATAATATTTGAAATTTGAAATTTATTATTTTATATTTATTTAGTATACTTTTTTATCAATAAATATAATAGTTAAACTAAATCGTTTAATTTTTATGGACACTAACATTGAACGTAAATGTTATGGTAATCTTTATATTATCAATTACTCTTCTTTAATTTTTTTTCTGCCTTAGAGATAAAAATTATTTCTTGAGTAAACTAATATTTTTTATTAATCAGTTAAAAAATTTCAAAAAAAATGAAAATAATAGTGTTTGTTTTTTTTTAATAAGTCAAAATATTGCTATTAGATTTGTAATAATTTAATGTTTATTTTTTTATGAATTATTTTTATGTATTTTCATTGTCTATTTAATTATCTATTAACTTAAGTAGTCATATTTAGAAATAAAAATAAAAATATTACAAAACATAAAGAAATAATTTTAAAACTCTATTTTTAGAATAAAAAATATTTATTATTTTAAATTAAGTAAAATGAAAAGATAATGTGTTAGGTAAAGCCAATTGCATGGACGGCCATGACATTAAATAGAGAATTGGAATACTAAACCCAAGCAGAAAAATAGAAGAAGAATACAATGCGGATAGAGAAATAGAGTAACAAATAAGCAAAAGTAGTAATAATTAATACGTGAAATTGAGAAGGTCAAGTCAACTCCCGCTTTGGAAGACCCCACGCGTCATGTGGTGTAGCCTTAGAGATCAGTTTGGTTAAATATTCACAACTGATATTATCTCTTCCGTAGAAAATAGGATCCTGGAGGAAATGTCTTTGTTATTGCTTCACATCGGTCCAAGATTTGTGTGTTCAAGTTCAATTGGTAAGGTTGATGGCTTTCATTTTCTCCCTCTCTAACTTTTCTAAAATGTTAATGAGTAGTCACTCCTAGTACAGGCTTGTCCACAGCGTGTTCGGTGGGAGCAGAAATATTTTCCTCTGTATTGAAAATTTCTCATAAAATTCTATTCTCTTTTTCCTTCATTTTAAATATTTAGAATCCTACTTTCGAAAATGAGATATGAGTCCTTTCTTCTTTTAACTAGAAATTTCAAGTTTTAAATATAATCTCTTAACTTAAAATAATTTGGAAGGAGGGTTTAATGAATTAGTAAATTTTAGATACCAAATTAATTTTGTTATCAATGATTAACTTAACTATCTATTTTTAATCGTTAATTGAAAATTATGAAAAAAAAATTCTTTAATAGAAGTTTTTAATTTTACTCATATTCTAAACTCTCAATAAGGAAGATTTCGGAACAATGCAACACCTAAATGCATGAATAGAGAAATGGAAATGTTGTATAGGCAACCAGAAATAGAATTTTATATAAGGAAAATAGATGGTAGAGGCCAAAATAATATATCGAAATTGGGAAACTAAAGTCATGCTTTGAAATGTCAAATTTTTATACCAAACTATTACTTAAATAAATTTTGAAAATTCTCTCTTTTCTCCTTCTCTGTCAAAGTGGGAAAGAGGAAAATAGATTAATAATAAATAAAATTAATTAAAAAACTTGGAAATTTCCTTGTTATGACCTGACAACCATTTTCTATTCATGCATATTCATTGCAAATCATAAAGCTATATTGAAACCTCAAAAAAGGTATTTTTCTCTTCAGTCTTCACTACAGATATATTTCTCACAAAATGTACAGTCTCCTCTTCACTAGACATGCATATGCAACCCTTCTTTTTCTATCCTTAGCTTGCCATACTTATAATGCTACCAAAAACAACTATTGCCAGTCTTCTTGCGGAATCCACAACATTAGCTATCCTTTTAGACCCAAAAACAACTATTGCCAGTCTTCTTGCGGAATCCACAACATTAGCTATCCTTTTAGACTGAAAACCGACCCTAAAAAATGTGGCGACATAAATTATGAACTTGCTTGCGAAAACAACCTCGCTGTATTATATGTGGATTGGGGGGTATATAATGTCCAGGCAATCAATTACAATAATGCTACAATTCGATTAGTGGATGCCAATGTTCAAAAGGATAATTGCTCCTCCATTCCTCTTCATTCTATTGGCCAATTGCGTTATGATAGTTATTGGAATTCTGATCCACGATATGAAAATATAATATCAAGATCAAATTTTTCAGACATCGACGATTCTTATCAGAGCTTAGTATTCGTGAGATGTGAAATCCAAGTGAATTCTTTTTCAGACATCGACGATTCTTATCAGAGCTTAGTATTCGTGAGATGTGAAATCCAAGTGAATTCTCAACTTTACGTGAATCGTTCTACTTGTAGTAATAATTCTTCTGATAATTTGTTGAAAGGTGGTTCAGGTTTTTCTTATGCCATTTTAACTCGTATTAATGCTTCTGATTTGGTGGATTCTTGCCTGGTAGAGTCCATAACTTTGACATCTTTTTTGCTGCCAAAAGATGTTCACAATATTTCATATTTAAACATTTATAAGAGTTTAGTGTACGGATTTGAGGTTTCTTGGTTCCCAGCTTGCTGTAGTAACCATTGCCTCTCTTATTATGGTTTGCCATCCGAAGGTGAATGTTATCAATTTCGTAAAATTAACTTTAAAGGTAAGTACTCTACTTTTCTATCGTTTTTATTTATTTATTTATTTTTTTTGTTTTATTTGAAATGATATTATTGTTTAGTTGCAAATATGCAGGTATAATAATTGGATATCTATATTTTTTTTGATAATGCATGGATATATACAACCACATGATATATCATTATTTTTTTTATGAAACATCAAAACTCTAATAACATGATTTTTATTTATTTTTCATTAGTTTGCTCCATGGCTAGACTCTTAGATCGGGTCTAAATAAGTTAATTTCATTGGCTATTAAATTATTATTAATTACCGTATAAATATTTAACACACATATAGATAATTACAGCAGAATCTTTTAAAAATATTTTTATAGATTTCTTTTAGAAATCAAATCCCTGCAAGTATTATGTTTAAATGTCAACATATATTTTTAATTCATTAAACTGTCTATCTGTTTTAAATTTTACGTAATTTTTTTTCTTTTAAAAAATTCTATATAAAATTAGAAATTCAAATAAAGAAATGTTACTATTATTACTATTATATTATTTTTCTTGTATTATATGTGCTGTTATTGAGTACATTCCTGGACATTGTTTTAATAAAATGAAAAATAGAAAATAAAATATCTTATCGATTCTCTTTCGTGGTTTAGTGCAAAATCTTATAATATTTCATTTCTTTTTAAGAATCTTTTTTATGTTATTAAAAAGTCGTATTTTTTTCCTCTGATTACATCAGAATCATAAAGCTAAATTATTCTAGTATTTTGTTGCTTTATCTGGAAAAAAAAAACTTTTGTTATTCATTAATATTATTTTTTTTTGTTGCAGATATTCTAGAGACTGTTGTCGGATATCTATACACAATCCTCTGGAGCCTATTGCATGGCCTCCATCGTAAGTATTTATCTACATTTTTCAGATGCCAAATTAGTATAGTCTATAACCAATGGCAAGAAAACTAAAAGCAAATATAACAATTTCAAAAAAGAAAAAAAGGAAAATTCAACCTGTGACAACCAAAAAAAAAAAAAAAAAAATTGAAAAAAAGAAAATTCAACCCTGTGTACAACCAAAAAAAAAAAAAAAAAAATTGAAGAAAAAAAAAAAAAAAAAAAAAAAATTGAGAACTTCTATTCACCTGTTTAACACTTTTTTTTTTCTATGGTTCCTTTTGCAGTTGGATCGAGAGCAAGCGATGCAATATCAAGTAAGAATTTTTATATTATATTCACCCAAGACAGGAAATGTATTCGCCTCAGTAAAAAGACACGTGGCTTCTGAAAATAATACGAATTTATTTATTTATTTTTAGAAAACATGAATTCTTATATCTAATTAGAAATTCAAATTCAATATCAAAATGAAAGGATTATGTGTTATAAAATCTTTGACAGACAATAAAACATATTCAACCAATCTCTTAGAAAAATATTTTTAAGTTTTTATGTTTATAAAATATTAATTTAATGCATAGGTAGTAACCTTTTGAACAATATTTTTATATTTTTTAATTTTTTAATAGGTATTTAATTGAATTAATTTTGCAAATTGAAGCATTTAATAGATATATTTTAAAAAATTAAAGTGTTTAATAGATCAAAGTAAAGTTGACAATGACACAAGTTTAAAATAATAAAATTTAGAGATGAATTTATGTAGCGAGTAAAAATATTTTTGACATCCTTATTAAATATAAGCAATATTACGTGTCATGTTATTAAAGCGACTGCATTTCCACAGTCCCGTGAGCCTTCTTACAAATCCTATACGATTTTGCATATTGATTTATTTTTGTCATTTTATCTTCAGTGGGACTGCGATACTTTATTCAGTTGCCAAGTAAGTAACAATTATAGAAATTCTCAATATGATTATTTTCACCATTTAAGCCGCTCCAGCTTTTGAGCGCGGATAAAATTAACTGTTTTATCAATTATTAACTGTTTTAATATCGTTAATTATTTAAATATTTTTTTATAAAATATTAAAAATTAAATATTATATTAATTAACTTTTTATAAAATTCTACTTTTTTTTTTACTTTTACTTTCCAAACTAATTAATATGTATGATCTTTACTTCTTTCAGATTGGTTGTCTTATCTGCTTGTTTTCTTTAATGACTTGCTCATTTTCCTTGGTAAGTAAAATATTTCCAGTAAAATAATTTCCGAGAAGTCTACTTTCGCTTAATTCATGAAGCCATGGAAGCCATATTTCTTTACTCCCCGACTAAACCGATATGAGTTTTTTTTTTTTCCTATACCATGGTATACCGCATACAATATTCATTGTGGACTCGACTCCATGTGTGATCGCATTTTTTATCTACAAATGGCGAAGAAGACATTTATCTATGTTCGCTAATATTGAAGAATTCCTTCAAACTCACAACAATCTAATGCCCATTAGATACTCTTACTCAGATATTAAGAGTATGACTAATGGTTTTAAGGACAAGTTAGGGCAAGGAGGATTCGGAAGTGTATACAAAGGAAAACTTCGCAGTGGCGATTTTGCTGCCGTAAAAATGCTTGACAAGTCCAAATCTAACGGGAAGGACTTTGTTAGCGAAGTCAGTACTATTGGGAAAATTCACCATGTTAATATAGTTCGACTCATTGGTTATTGTGTTGAGGGATCAAAGCAAGCTCTTGTTTACGAATTCATGGTTAATGGTTCTCTTGATAGATACATATTTTCTGAAGAAAGGAATAATTTACTGAGCAATGAGAAAATGTACGAGATTTGTCTCGGTGTGGCTCGAGGTATTGATTATCTCCATCGAGGCTGTGATATGCAAATCTTGCATTTTGATATTAAGCCGCACAATATCCTTCTTGATGAAAAATTCAATCCGAAAATCTCAGATTTTGGACTTGCAAAATTATACCCAACGTATAGTAACACGGTGACGCTTACAGCAGCAAGAGAAAAAGGTATATGGCAATAGGTTATATGGCTCCTGAATTCTGCTACGCAAATATAGGAGGTATTTCCTTTAAAGCTGATGTGTACAGTTTTGGAATGTTGTTAATGGAGATGGCGGGAAGAAGGAATATAGGAGGTATTTCCTTTAAAGCTGATGTGTACAGTTTTGGAATGTTGTTAATGGAGATGGCGGGAAGAAGGAAGAATGTGAATGCATTTGCAGAGAATTTGAGTCAGATTTACTTTCCTTCATGGGCTTATGAACATTTTTGTAAAGGAAAGAGCATTGAGTTAGAAGATATTAGTGAGGAGGAAAGAAACACAACCAAGAAAATGGTTATAGTTGCATTATGGTGTATACAGTTCAAGCCCAGTGATCGTCCTCCAATACATAAAGCTATAGAGATGCTTGAAGGAGAAGTTGAAAGCCTAATAATGCCTCCAAAACCTTCTTTTTTCCCAACAGATAGAGCACAAGAAGATATCCAGGTTGAAGAAGATTCAACTCAAATAACAAGTCCATATTCTGATTCAGATTCTATCAGTTTGGTGCAAAATGAATATTGAGTTGTTTAATTTATGTTCAATTATTTTTCTTTTTCTTTTTCTTTTAGGAAAAAGACACTGTCTTATAAAAAATCAATTTCATTAAAAATTTTTAATATATAGTGGGTTTATGACTTGGATGACGACCATCATAAAGTTAGTTATAACTTATAAGAATTACATTTAAAAATTAACAAAAGTGAGAGAAATGAGGATGAAGGCGCGATCCTTTCTTATACAATGAATCTAGATATTTAAAAAAAAAAAAAGCAATGTGGTGGCCAAAGGTAATGAAGCAATGTATTTTATTCAGAAAATATTTTTTTGAAAAATTTAATTAATATGTTTATTTATATAATACATAAAAATAAAAAATAATATATTCATCTTAAATTTTATTTATATATAATATATACAAAAATAATTATATATATTTAATGATGATTTTAAATTTTAAGAGCAACAACTATTAAAATTTTAATAAATATGAATATTCATCAGTTGGTATAAACCGGTGAACCAAATAAGCCCTAAGAGAAATGTTGAAAGAATTGGTTGGGAGTAATTTGGAATTAGCCAATACCAACCACATTTCCATTCTTAATCGGGATTCCTATTTTTTAGAATTCAATATAAAATTCTTTAATTAGTTTCATCTTAACACTCTAGTACTCAATTTTTATATTGAATTTACTATTCGGATTAAGTAGGATAGTATCAGCAAACAATATTATTAATTATATTATTAAATTGTGAGGATAGCAATGTTTCTAATCTTGGTTTGATTGGTGATTATGGTCTGGTTCGTTGATTTCTCGTTAGGGGGGTTTTCCTTTAATATTGGTTATTCTACTATTTTAGATTGAGGAATATTTGGCTATTCGGGCTGGTGTTCTATTAGCTTGGGAGCGTGGTTTTTGTTTTCTCATCGTTGAAACCGATAGCCTGAAAGCAATTCGATTGGTTGCTTCTATTTTGCCTTCTTCTCATCCTTTAGCAGCTATTGTTATGGATGTCCAGGGATTGTTGCTTTAGGACTGAAATTGTTATGTGCATCATGTTTTCAGTAATTTTGCTATAGGTCATTTGGCGAAGTTGGGTCATTTGATGTCTTCCTCTCTTCATGTGTGGGTTTCTGCTCCTGTTTCAATTTCTTTGATTATTATTTAGTCCGATGCTTGTGGCAACTTTTTGAGATAGTCTATTCTTTTTTTTTTTTTCCTTGTTCTTTTAGTTACCAAAAAAATATTATTAAATTCTAAAAAAAAAAGTTATGATTTATGTTTCCGATCTTCTACAACAGTATCCTTTTACGCATGATGTCTAAATATTGACACTGTTACCTCGAAGTCACGATCTACTTTGTAGGCTTTTTTAGGCCATGATCCTGCAAGAAGAGGGAAGCGTCTCCCATCAGTACTCGGAAGGTCGGTGCGCTCTATGGGGTTTATCAAATTGGAATTTAACACCTAAATCTTGGCTTGAGCCGACAAGAGTAGTAATTAACACACCTAATAGTCCTTTTTAAAAAAAAAAAAATAGTAATTTTTTTTTTTGGCGTTTTTGTATCTCATGTAATTAGTATTTACATTCACTAAAAGCAATAACCATATTTCACAAACAATGAATGAGAAATAAATAAAAAGATTAGGTGATACAATAAACATAAAATTAAGAGATCATATAATTAAATTTTAATGATGGTTAATATATTTGAACAAAATAGAAATATTAAATAGTAATTCACTTTTTTAGCAATAATGATGGTTAAATTTGGACTTGTCCTAAGCCCAGCTTGAATCAAAGGTCAGCAGATTCATCTAAAATTCCAGGCCCATAGGCCTTAACCTCTTCCAGGAGCATCACTTGAACAGAAAAGAATATTACAGAATATCTTCATTATATATATTATTCAGGAGGCCATGCCTATCCTTAGTTTAGGATTCTCCATGAAATTGACCCATAATATTCACCAATTTTGGGTAATTTTCTCATTTTTTTTCTAATTACTTTTTACTAAAAATATTTTCTTCTGTCTCAAGAAAGTTTTGCAATATCTTTGCTAAAGATGATGGCTTATTCTTGAATTTGGTGGACCTTTCTTCTTTAACTAATCATCTGCAGATTTGAAAACATCAATTAAAATAAACAAGTGATGAGTTGATACTAATTAATCTTAATAAAGGGGTTAAGATTACAATGCATTTTAATTAATTGATTCAATTATTCATAATTGTAATAGTTTCTTTCAACAATGTATTTCTTTTTCATTGCAACCACTCTACACGGATTAACCTCAACTGCGTTTCATATTGAAATTGTGGCTTTTAACCTCAGTGAGAGTGGTCTGATATAGACTAGGCACTTGCCTTAATGCAATATGTGGCTTAGAGATACAATGAATGTAGACATGTTTAGGCCAATTAAGTTAGTGGCTATCCATTTGGGAACTCCATAGGGAAAAAGGAGAAATACTGAAATGCTATTTTATTCCATTGGCATCCTTAGAGACAACGCATAAAGTGAAAAGTGAAAATATGAATTAAAAAAGGGAGCTTCATTGGCTTTGGGGAGAAGGTATTTGCTGTTTTTATTAAATTCAGATCTCTAAATATAAAATTACAAGTTCAAAATGAGCATCCGTTGCGTTAAGCACTACATAAAAACTTTAGCGTGCAATGAATCTAGACATCTTAAAAAGTGCAAGTAGGTTTTTTTTTTTTTTAAATGAAAGTTATCCTTTTATTTATATCTCAAATATGAATTCCCCATGGCCTCCAATAATACAATACCTTTAATCAAATGAGGTAAAGAATTAAAAGAGGTAAAAGAAAGAGAAAAATGATATAGCCTTTGATGAGTGGCCAAAAGTTATGCCGCTTGATTTCCTTCATGGTATATGTGATGAATGGATGAGGAGTGGAGGTACAATAGGTCAGCAATACGTAGCAAAATCGAAGGACCTGCTCTAGTCCATTGTGCCCGATTAACTCGAGCAACTAGATCCTGACAATTCATTTCCACCTGGATGGAATAAAATCCTTTATCAATGCTCCAGGAGAGCCCCCAAATCAATGCTTCAAGTTCTGCAACATAAGCTGTCCCCGCAGCAAACGTAAAACAAGCGGCAGCAACAAAGTTACCATGGCTGTTTCGGAGGATAGCACCCCCCACTGCTGAAAATTTGTTGAAAGATACATCAATATTCAGTTTATAGCAATCTTGTCTAGGCCGAATCCAAGTAATAATCATTGGCTTTAATTTTTGTTTGCCAAAAGAATCCGAAATGAAGTGGCAATCAGTTTTTGCCGACCAATTTGTTGCAAATCTTTTACCAGAATTGCCAATGCTCCAGTTTAATAACAGTCTACTAATATCTTGTATAAAGAGGTCTAGAAAGCAAGCTTCATTACCCCAATTACACTTACAATACATTTTCCACACAGACCATACAATTACTTGTGGTACCAAGAGCCTAAGCTTACCCATAACCGAATCTGGTCTGTTACAAAGCCACCAAAAAATCAACGCTTGACGCAGAGAATTTTGTGGCTCAAAACTATCTAGGAAGAAAGAGCCAAAATAATTCCAAATTTTGGCAATGATGGGGTAGAAATAAAAAAGGTGGTCCGTAGTTGTCTTCGACTCGAAGCAAAATGGGCAACGGAATGAACCATTTATCCCAAATAATTGAAGACATCTCGGTAAAGGTAAAGCTTCTCTGAGGAGTCTCCATGTAAAAATGGAAAGCTTAAACGGGAAAGATGAGTCCCAAATAGCATTGCTTGTGAGGTAAGAAGCTTTGCTTTCTCTAACACAATCGTAGGCTGAAGCAAGAGTAAATTTGTCATTCATTTCTCCTCGCCACACCACATTATTATCTGCGGTAAAGGGTGAAGCTTCTCTGAGGAGGTCTCCATGAAAAAATGGAAAAGCTTAGAACGGGAAAGATGGAAAGATGAGTCCCAAATAGCATTGCTTGTGAGGTAAGAAGCTTTGCTTTCTCTAACACAATCGTAGGCTGAAGCAAGAGTAAATTTGTCATTCATTTCTCCTCGCCACACCACATTATTATCTGCAAAATCAACAAGTGAACAAGCAAGAGAGTGAACTTGACAAATTCGTTTCCAAGTGCAAGAGTCGATGAGTTGATATCGCATTTCTTCGATGAGTTGATATCGCATTTCTCCCTGCTGATGATATTTCTGGAACATATAGTTAGCCCACAATGAGTTCCTTTGCATATAAGTCCACCAGATTTTGAGTGGATAGGATTGCTGTAAAGAGTTAAGAGATCTTAACCCCAGTCCTCCTTCTTTAGTCGGAAAACACATGTCACGATAACTGACCCAGTGATATTTCGAATGATCCACATTTTAATCAACAGAATTTTTTGTGAATCTAGACATCAATAAGATGATCATGTAATTTCACTAATTGAATACAACAGTAACTAATTTTCAAAACTTGAATAAAATAAATTGTTTAAAATATTTGGATATAATTCTAATTTCCAAAAAAAAAAATTTACTTTTTTAATTATGCCCTATTAATTATGCACTTGTTTAATTTATAACCATAATCCATTGTTATGTATATATATACACACATATAAGTAATTTAACAAATTATAATATAAAAAAATGATTTCTGCCATGGCTTTTAGCACTCTGATGACATAATTAGATTTTTGGATTTTGATTAAAAAAAATAAATTTAAATTGCATTTTACCAATTTATTAACTTCGAACCCAAATCGAACCAAATTTAGGTGGAAATCAGCCAAATCCAAGCTATGAAATCCAAGCTCGACCGATTTGAGCAGATAACAAATCCAAGCCATAAAATAGATATATTTTCGATTATTAAACCGATTCAACTGTACTATCCGATCCGAATTTGAAAACCATAAGAACACCTTCAATCCTATTTTGGTTTGAGAGCATAAACTTGTTTTTTATGCTACTGTGCATATATAGCTAGCGGCTGTAGGTTGTGTGATTAGCCATATTCTAGTGGAGCACAAGTTCAACTGTTGTCTCAACTTATTGGGTTTCGTCGTTGTTTTCTCTTTAGTGGATCATAAAGACAACTTCATTAGTCAAATCAAGTCAACTCACTAATTTGAAGTTTATGTGCAAGGATGTTATTTAAGCTTTTTTTTTTTTTTTTTTTTTTTTTTTTTTTTGCGAGATTCTGCATATATATTTATTTTTCTAAAAAATGCTTTAATTTTTCTTTTCAAACAAAATAATAAAAAAACTTAATTTGTAATGAGATAAGAAATGCATAATTATTCTAATGAGATAAGAAATGCATAATTATTTATTATTCATAAAAGAATTGGATTATGTACTTGCTTTTCCATTCTAAAAAATTTAAAGACAGACCACGCTAACTTTTTGGAAGTTACTTTATAGAAGAAGTGGAGGGGAAAGGCAAAGCACTTGCTCCAGCTTATGCATTCTTACCTCTCATTCCTTTTACCAAAAATGAAAAAAAATTGAAAATATTATAAGATTTCATCATCTTTAATATATAATTCTTTCCATTTCTCCATGAAAGGTTGGAAGATGCTGTTGACATTTTTAATATATAGTTCTTTAAAATATAGTTTTTTATTGAAATTTCAGCCTGCTGTCTTAGTTACAGCAGCTATGTATATATATATAAATATATATGCTATTTTTAATAAATTTATTTTAGTATCTTGAGAAGAATTCTTTATTCCATTACTGTTTACAAATTTCATTATTCTGACCTTATTGGACAACTTTTCAAATAACACTATCTCTATTATTTATGGTATAACGTTTATACTAGTGTTAAAAATTTCAAGGAGTAAATTATGAAATATTTATTCCTTTTAACCATTAGTGAAACCTAGGAAATAACAACTACTAAATCAGTTAATTTTGTAGAATAACCTTCATTCTAAGCAATAAGTGAGATAAAAATTTTCAATTGTTAACACCTAAATACATAAACATCTGTGCTTTTTCCCTCTCGGACTTCAACTATAGTGTCCTAACTAGAGGAGATGAAAAGCACATTTTTATTACATTTCCCATATCTATTACACAATCATACAAACAGACAAGACCATACACGACACAAAAAAAGAAAAGGAAAGAAAGCATACTAATAGACATAATTTTCTTTTCATTTAAAAGGCAACCATTTTAGAACTGAAACATGCATCAATTGCTTCATCAATAGTCAAGGAAATCCTTTCCCCAATTTTGTTCACAAAGTTGGCTAATTTTAGCTTGTGAATCACTTGCCACCTTGGGTTAGTGATGGTCATCTGAGAGAAAAAAAAATGTTCATAAAAATTAATATATAATAATAAAAAAAGAATAATATATATGTGTTGATATAACCAATACTAATTAGTACCTCTATTCCATTTAAAACAAGATTCTTACGCAGTTCTTCCAAACAAGCAATTCCTGCTGTATCAATGCTTGTTAAATCTGTCACATAAAAAAATATCGATTCTTTTATTTTTTGATTAACTAATTAAGCTTTTGATAAAAAATTATTAAGCACTTACTGGACAAGTCAAGAATCACAAGTTGGACACTGCTTTTCAAATTTCCTTTGATTTTCTCTTCCTCTTCCTTTTCTGTTGCCCATTTTATAATACTTAAAAGAAAAAAAATAGGAATGTTACCATTTATATGCACATTATTGAATTTAAGTTGCATATCTGAAAAATAGATTGAAAGGAAGAATTTATATGCACATTATTGAATTTAAGTTGCATATCTGAAAAATAGATTGAAAGGAAGAGTAGTGTATATATACTTGTGCTTGACGAAGTTGGCATTTGCAAAACAAAGGAAGCCAGACTTGACACGGATTACAAGCACAGAAGGAGTCTCAAGAGCCATAGGATATTGCAGAACATCACAAAACATATCAGTTCCAGGTATTCTTCCAAGAACTTCTGTGCCTGGTTTAATTGATATTATGATTATCTTCAAAAACGACACTCTGCAACTCGCACAGTAAAGTTAAACGCATGGACATTGGAGGTGCTTCCAAGCTTCATTAGAGAAGAAATAGCCAACAATATGATGAAAGTTAGTGTGGGTAGTGCTTGAATTTGTATGGTCAATCATCAATAAATGAACCATCATTTTGGTCACTTTCAAATCCAATGGAACATGACATCGGTAAATGTGGTGGTGTGTTAAGCACCAATCACTTGTCAGTACCCTGAACCATTCATGCTATCCACAACCTAAGGCTGAATATTCTCCTTCCATTTCTTCTTCTGGAATATCTATCATACACTGGGTCCCTTTATAGAATAAATATAAGTCGTTAAAAATTTTTTATAAGATAATTAAGAGATCAGTTAATTCTAAGAGAAATTTTATTAATTTGACTAAATTATCATTTATCTCATATTATTAATGTGTTTAATACGTATAGAAGGATTAAATTAAAAAAAAATTCATTAATTACTCCTTAGTGTTCAACTTATACTATTGGACCGAGAGAGTATTATAACCAATTGACTTATCTAGATTCGGTATATAGGCTCATTCATGAATTAAATCAATAAAAAAATTTTTTTATTGAAATGAAGGTATTTATAACCATATATAAAGAAAAAAAAAGATGAAGTAGCAAAAATTTAAAAAAAAATTTTTTTTCATTGATGTAGTCTATAAGTAAGTAAGGCCATATACTCGGTTTAGGCAAATCTAATTCATGCTGTAAAAGCTATAAACAAGCCTCTAAGCATCAACTATGCTTAGTGGTGTGGATACCAAAATTGTATTAAATTTTATTCCTCATTTTGATAATGATTGAACCTTGCCATAAGCCGAAGTCTAATTTTACGCTCTTTGTACGACCTTGTCCATTCTTAATACGACCTTGTCCATTCTTAATATAAAATTAAAACATTCTTAATATAAAATTAAAAATTAGTTTTAAAAAAAATATAAAATTAAAAATTCAATACATATATATAATATAAGTAAAGTTACCGCAGCGAGTAGGCCTATCTCCACCGAACAGAATAACACTCCGAACAAGGCCCCAATGCAAGCAAGAAAATCTAGCTTGTCGAGCTTCCAGATATTGTAGATTTCATTGAGGTCAATAAGTCCTGGTAGAGCAGAAAGAATAATTGAAGCAAGTATGGCAGTTGGGGTGAAGTACAATAGCCTTGTCAAAAATTCCAAGCATATTATCACTGTAATAGCCATCACAAAATTCCAAGAGAAAAAGTTCTTGTAATTTAACTAATTAAAGTAAAAAATGCACTTAAAAAGAAAATGAAAACTTGAGTAAATTGAATTTGTAAGTAATTAAAACTATGAGAAAATTCTTAAAATTAATTAGAAAAACAATATAATGGTCTGGGTCGCGTGGGTTAAATTGTTTTTTAAATTTATAAAACCAAACCTGAACTTAAGATTTGGTTGTCAGATTTAACAACCGGCACCCAACCAGAAGCACAAAAAGTTTCATTACTTTCGGTTCGATTTCATTGGGTTTCATTTCATTGGGTTTAAACTTATTACATTATTTATCAATGTTTTGCCCAAACTGTCAATTGCTGTTCTCAAAGATTGCCTCATTCAAATTGGAAGAAAGGGGAATTCCAAATCCTGTAAATAAACAAAACAGCCTATAAAAGTATAAATATTTCAGAATTTCCATTATATTTCAGAATTGCCATTTCCCTTGTGCATAGCAAAGGAAAGAAGATGATTTAGGACGAGAAATAATCCAAGTTATGCAAAAGATATTAAGCAATTGAAGAATCAATTCCTTTTTCCCACAAATATGGCAACATGTTCAATATTGCCTGGTTTTACATTTGAAGAAAGCTGTGAACTTTTTTCAACAAGTAATTTCAGCAAAAGCTATTCTTAACTTTCTGTACAACATATTATTCCTATGCAACTGGATTTGCAAATCCCCAAGGAGAAGCTAATCCAAAGCTAAAGCTATAATACAAACCCATGGAAACCCTAATTGAGCTCTTGACTTTAACTACAAGTCAATCAAACTCAAATGGAAAGAATTCTCTTCCTTCTTTATAATGATGACGGCCAGAATGATCAGAAAACAAAACCCAGAAACCAAAATTAGAAGAAAACCCATAAAAAATATATCTAATGGACACCTCTGCAACAGAAATTGTATTTTTTGGCTTAGAAACAACACTACCCAATAGAATTGGACAAAAATTATGGGTATTGGAATTTGGTGCAATTATAGTATGTCCAAGAAAACTTGTTGAATTAGAAAGTTTTAGTACCCTAATTAGGCCTAAAGATTTATCTGTCGTTGCATTGAAGTCTAGCAGAAGTGATGGGATAACTAGAGAAGCTGTGGCTAATGCACCTATTTTTGAAGTTGCAGATAAGATATTCAGTATTTTGAATGGGAGAATCTGTGCAGGGCATAATATTCAAAGATTTGATTGTATACGAATTAAGGAAGCATTTGCAGATATTGGTATGGCTGCACCTGCTCCTGTCGGTATGATTGATTCTTTGGGGGTTCTGGGTGAGAAGTTTGGTAGAAGAGCTGGTAATTTAAAGGTATGTTTACAATTTTGTGATCTTTCGTATCTAATATTTCAGTTGTTAGCACTTCTCGTTGTTGTTGTTGTTGTTTTTTTTTTTTTTTTTTTTTTTTTTTTTTTTTTTTTTTTTTTTTTTTTTTTTTTTTTTTTTCTTTCTTCTTGTGGCTTTTGTTTTCCAATTTTTATTTGATGTTTATATAAAAAAATAGTTGCTGCAACATGTAAAAAACTAAAAATTATATATATATAAAAGATTTCCGATCCACTTCTTGAGGTATTTAGAAAATAATAATAATGATAATAATAATAATAAACCAAAAACAGTCAGGATTTTCTCAATCTCCTGACTTATTTATTCATTTTTGCAGATGGCAACTTTGGCTACATACTTTGGGCTTGGGCAGCAAAAGCATAGGTATTTACAGAATCAAATATGTAGTTTTCATTTTGATACATACGAAATTTTTAAAGAAAAAAGATTATAACGATTTGAGTGAACCTTACATTTTCTATTACGAGATAGATACTTTACATTTTCTATTACGAGATAGATACTTAGATTATTCATGTGTAATTTTAACACAATAACTTAACTATTTGAATAATGTATATGATTTCTGTTTTCTATTGTAAGAAACTGATGATGATAATCACTTGTATAAAAAACAGGAGTCTTGATGATGTTCGCATGAATTTAGAGGTCCTAAAGCACTGTGCTACTGTTTTATTTTTGGTAATCTCTTGAACTTCTCATCTTTAATTGTTCTAGATTGTTGGTACATTTCAAAATTCTTAATCTCTTGCCCTAAAAAGCAAGATCTAGGAACATTCTACCATCATAATATTAGCCCAATTACTCACATTTAATATTTAATAAATAATTAAATCTATTACTAAATTTATTGAAATAAGGAATCAAGCCTTCCAACACTAGTGAATAAAAAATGGCAAAGCTCTTCCACAATTAGGACTCGTAGCAGAAGCATTGGGAATTGCAGTGTTGAGAAGAAAGCAGCCGCAAGTCTCCTCCTTCCACTATTGGCTGCCAAAGAACAGTTCCTTATACAAGAGGAAGTCTAGGAAAGGTCAAAGAACAGTTCCTTATACAAGAGGAAGTCTAGGAAAGGTGACAGAAGGGGTAAAGAATTTGTTTTGCAAGGCTCAAGAGACAAAATCCATTAACAAGTTAATTAAGCACTCTCATTCTTTGCTTAGATGATCAATAATTTAGAACTAGTTTTTTAATTTGTAATTGGCAAGAAAGAAATCTTGATAAGGTGGGTCCTAACTCCTGATTATAAGACATTTGGATCATCCAAATTTCTTTGAAGTAGCTTGGAAATGTATGAAGAGCTTATTCCATAGGACCAACGACAATTGTATTTATTTATTTTTCAACTAATTGCATGATTGATTCTTTTTATCTTTTTAAGATTTCTTTTCTTTACCAGTAATGAGAGACTGGTATTTTTTTTTTTTTTTGGTTAGAAAATAGAAAGAAATAATATATTTTTCTCCTACTATTAAATGAGATTTATTACTAAATTCTTACATTAATTCAAAGGATGCACCACGAGTTTAATAAAGAATTTCGCTTAGTTTCCAAAATACTATAAAGTAATTCACTCTTAATCCTTTTTTTAGATTGGAAATTTAATTAAATAAATAAAATAATTAGCAGAAAAAACTTCTAAACTAGATTAATTCCATTTTCAAAAATTTTTTTTTAGGGGGGAAAGAAATCAAAAATTTTTTTTAGAAGAAATTCCATTTCAAATTAGATTAAACATAAACATACAAAAACAAAATATTGACTCGGGATATAAATTTAGGACCACCTGCATAAAAATCTCAAGCATTAATAAGTGATCTGCACATAACCACACAAAGACCAGGTAGCTAGAGAAATATAAATATAAAAATCTCAACTAATTGCACCACATGCAATTAAATTGCCTTGTCCATATTATTGATTCTTAGGCCAAATGCATAAATTTATACCTATTTAATTTTCGATTTTATATGTTCAACACTTAAATTTATAAAATTATATCTATTAAATATTTTAATTTTTTATTCAATGTTACAATTTATATATTAAGTCGATTAAATAGTGAATAATTAAAAAATGAAAATTAATTACTTCAAAAATTATAATAACAACATATATTAAATTAATATTTTGTGTATAAAATTAAAATCACTAAAAAATTAAAAAATCACTAAAAAATTAATGTTAATTGCTAGTATGGGAAGACATATAATATTACCAGAAAATCTTTTACTCTATGTAAAAAAATCTCATGGCACTTTTTAATTTTTTTATTTATAAAATTGAACCTATTAAATAATTTAATTTGTAAAATTTTTCTATTAAATATTTCATCTTGCAAAATTGGATTAAAAATTATTGAATAATTAAAAATTGGTGAAAATTATTATTTAAAATTAAGTTCTAACATTTACATTCAAATAAACATTTTACATTGAAAAATAAAAAATACAAAAAAAAGGCTATTATTGGCAGTGTGGAAAAATATGTAATGTAATCTAAATTCATAATTTTAAGGGTATATATAAGGATAAATATTAAGAGTGTTATAAGGATAAAGCATTAAAATTAAAGGACAAATTTATACATTAAGCCAAGTAGATAGCTCGAAGTGGTTATATATATATAAAAATATATATATATATATATATATAGTATTTTTCCCTGGAAAGTCAACATGTGGTATATTCACTTGGCATTTTAATTTGACATGTGTTATATTCCTCCAATTAGGCTTCCACTTAGTATGATTTGATTTGATTATTTAATGTATTAATGTATTGACTTGGTTTGGATTTATTTTGAATTAGAGTTTTTTGGTTTGGTTTGATTTGATTTGATTATTGAATTTGGTTTGGTTTGATTTGATTTGATTATTGAATGTATTAATAACAATGATTTATTCAATCAATGTATTAATGTATTGCTATGCAACAAATGTTTATTCTCAAATTTATGAAGTAACAAACGTTTCCTCTCACAATCGTTAATGTATTTTTAACGTTTCCTATCTAAACGTTTCCATTTTTTTTTAAATGATGTAGTAATGCATTTTTTTTTTAATTTTAAATTATTTACTCTCAAAAAACACTTTAACTTTTTTTAAAAATAATATATATAAGTTGTATCACTGTATTCTTCTATATTCTTGACAAATGTATATTGGTCTCTGCTTTTAAATATATTATTCTTCTTTTTTTAATTCAGAAATTTATATAATTCAACTATTTCTGATAATGGAGTTAGTAGTTCTTCCTCAAATTTTTTTTTGTCTCCTTTTCTAAAGATTATTTAATATGTTTTTGTAGTCGTAAACTATCAAATCAATATATATATATAAAGCAGACGTACTTTTTCTTGGTGTTGTCATGTAGGATTCTAAATTACTAACATGTGTATGACTTAACTGTTTGTTTTTATATTTATTTGAAAATAAATTAATTTCTGATTGAATTAAACCGTCTTAAATGTAATTGATTAATATAACGTTAGAGAATTAATAGTGTGTTAAGTAACAATTTATATAACTTTTAATGATATAAATTTTAATATAATAAATAAATCACAAAATTTATGATTTTAATGTTGGGCAGTTATTATTTCATATTTTTAAAAAAATTAAACTTATGTTATTTAAATTAAAATTAATTGTTAAATTATAATTGATTAATTATAGTGTAATAACATGATAAGTTGAAGATTTATGCAACTTTTTATTATTTTAAAATAAATTATTTTATTCATGGATATTTAATAAAATAAACGATGTTAATTATTTTTTAATTAATTTTAAAATAAATCAAATTAATAAATTTACCACCCTTTCATTTTATTTTTTCTTATTTATGTTTATAAATTTCAATATTTTTTAATCCATACTCCTAACACTGCCTATCTTACTAATTTTTACTTTAATAATAAAAAAATCACGCTATATATTTTTTTTACTATTGGGTATATCTTTATAATATTTTTTAATAGTATAATATAAGGAAATTTCATTCAAGAATTCTATTTCATTCAAGAATCTATAAGTTATATTCCTCCGTCCCATTTTATTTGCATGATTTGATAAAACATGCATATTAAGAATTTAGTCAATAAAAGTTATTTTGTCATTTTTTATCCTTAACTCATTGAAGATATTAATATTCATAAAGGTTATCATGTGAAAAATAATTATTTACATGTCTAAATTTAAAAATCCTGCAAATATTTTGGGACATTCAGAAAAGGAATAACAAGTAAATAAATATTTTAATATACTTTTTTATTAACAATATAATAGTCAAACTATAACGTTTAATTTTTATGGTACTAACATTGAACTTAAATGTTATGTTAATCTATTATGTTAATCTTTATATTATCAATTACTCTTCTTTAATTTTTTTCTGCCTTAGAGAAAAAAAAATTGTTTCTTGAGTAAACTAATAGTTTCTATTAATTAGTTAAAAAAAATTTTCAAAAAAATGAAAATAATAGTCTTTGTTTTTTTTTAATAAATCAAAATATTGCAATTATATTTGTACTAATTTAATGTTTATGTTTTTATAAATTATTTTTATGTATTTTTATTGTCTATTTAATTATCTATCATATTTAGAAATAAAAATAAAAATATTACAAAACATAAATAAATAATTTTAAAACTATATTTTTAGAATAAAAAATATTTATTATTTAAATTATTTCTTGAGTAAACTAATATTTTTTATTAATCAGTTAAAAAATTTCAAAAAAAATGAAAATAATAGTGTTTGTTTTTTTTTAATAAGTCAAAATATTGCTATTAGATTTGTAATAATTTAATGTTTATTTTTTTATGAATTATTTTTATGTATTTTCATTGTCTATTTAATTATCTATTAACTTAAGTAGTCATATTTAGAAATAAAAATAAAAATATTACAAAACATAAAGAAATAATTTTAAAACTCTATTTTTAGAATAAAAAATATTTATTATTTTAAATTAAGTAAAATGAAAAGATAATGTGTTAGGTAAAGCCAATTGCATGGACGGCCATGACATTAAATAGAGAATTGGAATACTAAACCCAAGCAGAAAAATAGAAGAAGAATACAATGCGGATAGAGAAATAGAGTAACAAATAAGCAAAAGTAGTAATAATTAATACGTGAAATTGAGAAGGTCAAGTCAACTCCCGCTTTGGAAGACCCCACGCGTCATGTGGTGTAGCCTTAGAGATCAGTTTGGTTAAATATTCACAACTGATATTATCTCTTCCGTAGAAAATAGGATCCTGGAGGAAATGTCTTTGTTATTGCTTCACATCGGTCCAAGATTTGTGTGTTCAAGTTCAATTGGTAAGGTTGATGGCTTTCATTTTCTCCCTCTCTAACTTTTCTAAAATGTTAATGAGTAGTCACTCCTAGTACAGGCTTGTCCACAGCGTGTTCGGTGGGAGCAGAAATATTTTCCTCTGTATTGAAAATTTCTCATAAAATTCTATTCTCTTTTTCCTTCATTTTAAATATTTAGAATCCTACTTTCGAAAATGAGATATGAGTCCTTTCTTCTTTTAACTAGAAATTTCAAGTTTTAAATATAATCTCTTAACTTAAAATAATTTGGAAGGAGGGTTTAATGAATTAGTAAATTTTAGATACCAAATTAATTTTGTTATCAATGATTAACTTAACTATCTATTTTTAATCGTTAATTGAAAATTATGAAAAAAAAATTCTTTAATAGAAGTTTTTAATTTTACTCATATTCTAAACTCTCAATAAGGAAGATTTCGGAACAATGCAACACCTAAATGCATGAATAGAGAAATGGAAATGTTGTATAGGCAACCAGAAATAGAATTTTATATAAGGAAAATAGATGGTAGAGGCCAAAATAATATATCGAAATTGGGAAACTAAAGTCATGCTTTGAAATGTCAAATTTTTATACCAAACTATTACTTAAATAAATTTTGAAAATTCTCTCTTTTCTCCTTCTCTGTCAAAGTGGGAAAGAGGAAAATAGATTAATAATAAATAAAATTAATTAAAAAACTTGGAAATTTCCTTGTTATGACCTGACAACCATTTTCTATTCATGCATATTCATTGCAAATCATAAAGCTATATTGAAACCTCAAAAAAGGTATTTTTCTCTTCAGTCTTCACTACAGATATATTTCTCACAAAATGTACAGTCTCCTCTTCACTAGACATGCATATGCAACCCTTCTTTTTCTATCCTTAGCTTGCCATACTTATAATGCTACCAAAAACAACTATTGCCAGTCTTCTTGCGGAATCCACAACATTAGCTATCCTTTTAGACTAAGAACCGACCCTAAAAAATGTGGCGACAGAAATTATGAACTTGCTTGCGAAAACAACCTCGCTGTA